CCTGTCTCTTGCGTTTTCTATCGCAAACACGGGTTCTGCTTGAACGCTACCCTAAAAGGCTGATATTTTTTTATGAGCAATGTTGGCACTTTCCCATTGAGAATGGGTAACAAATTTCTATCTGGATCATTTAGATCGGTCGTGGGCCCTGTGTTTCTCGCCTGGTTGCCCGTTGACGGCAACATTGCTCAAAAAGTTGCCCCGTGTATCCAGGGGCGTACTAGCAAGTACAACAAGAACTATGGTACATGGCCTTCAGATATTCAAAAGATGGCATAGATTAAATCATTAAGAGCCTGATGAACTGTTAAGGAGTAAGAACCAAACAATATCAATATAAGAAAATGTTAAGTTAGATTGACTTTCCATGGCATGTTGAATTAGAACATTCTGTCAAACTATAGCCTTGAGTGCCTAAATAATATAAAATACATATAGGCCTATATATCCTATGTAAACAAGTTCACTATGATGTTACTTTATTGCACCAACTTTGCATAGATGATGGCACAAAAGACCATTTCACAAAAATAAATATGTAAGCAAACAAACAAATAAACCTTATGAGTGAGCATGACCCAGGACTCTACTAAAACAGTTCACACTTCAACCCCCCCAATGTTCAAACCAAAACTACGCCCTTGCGTGTATCATCAGCCTAACATTCCCACAGCTGCCCCGGATCGACAAGTTGAGAGTTGTTCGGTCCGATGCTGGAAGAGTCTAAAGACCTCTGAAAAATTGTATTGTAAAGCATGTCCTAAAGCATCCCTATTTGTAAGATTTTGTATAGGCTATTTAATTAAGGTCAAAGTTTAATGTTACAATCTTATAATCTAGTACAATCTAGCACAAAAATGTATAGGCCTAAACGTTTTTGTTTTTGATTAATGTAGGCTATGTGTACATTCATTAATGTATTTTTTTTTTTCTAAGATGAAGGAATATAATCATAGGAACTTTTTTTAGTACTGACAATGCGTATTCATTTAAGATCCAAATGGTTTGGCTGCAGGAGCTTCTTCTGAACCATTTGGCTTAAAAACTCTGATAGTGTTGTATGACTGGTGTGAATGTACTTTCTAAAAGTATTTAATAAATATATATTTTACGCATCTCTAAAAACAGTCTAGACAGTCTGGTGTTTAAATGAACACAACAAGGACTGATTAAAAAAAAAGACTTTATTTCACTGCTAGAATCACAGGTAGGCTATACCAGTGAAGACAAACATTGGTCAAAACAATAAATAGTCAAGTTAAAAGTATACGTCATTGAAAACATGACAAAAGTAATAGTAACTGGAGGCAAACACAAGTGATAACCCGATGCTCATGCCACACCATATGTCCCATTAGGTCCTTCTGGGAGGTCATTTCTCCATTGGAGCAGTGACTAAGTAAAATGGAAAAGCACACCATTGTAAGAGTTCAGCTCCATGGTCTCCATATGGACTGGGTTGGAAGAGAAGAAGGTTCCAGTCTAATAGCCAGTACAGGAGACTGCGGTGGGGTAAAATCTCTAGCCATGTTGGGCAGAATAGGCTGAGGCACAATGACAGGCCTATGGAGTGAAAGTGGTGTTGAAAGAGGTGACAGTGAATCAGAAGGAGCAGGTAGAGGACAAGGCATGAATAGATATGGAGGGCAGTTACTGGGAGAGGAGAATAAGCTGGTAAAGGTGGGAGATGATGGCGGGGAACTACATTGTGATGATGATGATGATGATGATGAACTGGGGGGAGAAGTCGACTGATGCAAAAGTTTGGAGCCATCCAAAGATGATTCAGGGTGTAAGAGAAGATCCTGCTGGTAGTTCTGGCCTGATGGTGATAGAGGGAAGCCCGTCTGGGCCACTGGTTCATTTCCTGCTTTGGAAGCACCAGTTAGGTTATTATTGTTGACCCCCAGTTTCAGAAGAGCTTCCTTCTGCTCAGATGATTTAAACCTCCCATAGAAGTCTGGTACATAGAAGTCACTGGCGTAGATGGGGCCCGTAGAAACAGACTGCTTCTGAGTGGCCTTAGAATCCATTTGATTAGAAGTCACTGCAGAAAACATTACATAAATTAGGCAAATTATTACTAATAAATAATAGCTTTTAATAGTAAATTCAGATGGATGAAGTAAAAAGTAAAAGCAGTAAAAACCAACCCTTTGTCTCAGTTTTTCTTGTGGTCTTTTTGATGTACTGAACTGCGAGGTCTAAAATCTCTGCTTTTTCCAGTTTTGGATTTTGTAAACGCTGTGGAAGGAGAGAGGAAAGTCGATAGGTATTTTAGGGGTTTGTCAAGGAAGTAGTGCAGAAATAATGCGAAGTAATGCATCATAAATCGAGGGAATGTAGGCTACTCACCGTGTCTGCAGTGCTCTTGAAAAGCAGATCTCTTAATGCATCTAGGTTATGGTTGATTCGGTCTCTTCTCTTCTTCTCTATCACAGGCTTTAACTTCTTTGGACAAAAGTAAAAAATTAAAACTGTTAGTAAGTTTTACGTTTCCAATGTTATCATAACATTTAAGATTTAACTATTGCGTGGAATCAAATAAACATAAATTAGGCTAAATATAAAGTATTTGAGAAATAATTTTTGGGGAAAGAAAAAGTTGCTTTTAAAGAACTTACTCTTTTGACGCCTTCTGTCTTCGTCATGTTGGGAGTTGATCAGTTCGCTCTTCACGCTTAAATTCCTAGATGTGGGAAACTGCTGGAACCGAGCCAAACGGGAATTTTAAGCCTCTGGCGTGGCATCTGATTGGCGGAGAGGTGGCAGTGACGTAGGCACGGTGAACATTCCACCCAGCATTAACCAAACAATCAATAAACAGACGTGTTACTTATGACATCTAAGGACAAGCAAAACAGAAACAAATATATATATAATATTTAAATGTATAATAATTAAAACAGTCATCAAAAATAGATTGAAGCTTTATTTTTAAGCATATTTAGAAACATTTGATGGCGCAACTGGTTCTTGGGAAAAAAGTTTGCCATTTGATTGTATGCTGTAATAGGCCTATGCAAATATCAGCAAACGGTTTTGAATAAACAGCTGAGGACAATGCTTGAGGTGAACTGCTAAAACACATATGGGCACAAATGGCATCTGTCCTGACATTTTGGTGAATAAAAGTAGCATAACAATTTGGTCAGTAGCCTACACTAAAATTGAAAAGTAAGATGAATCGTAAAATCAAAGTGATGCCAAAGTGACAATGTGCTTTGGTAAAAGCATCGCACTTTTTAAAAACATTTTAAATTAAATTACAGATTTAACACTGAGCTGAAGCTCTGAATTAGCCTACATAAATTGCATATTTATTGTGACAATAATGAGTGAAAACAAATATCCTATATCATAATGATAAAAAAAAAAATGTAGGCATATAAATTCCGTTTAATGTGGAGGCCATGGAAACAGTTTTATTTCTATACGAATATTACTTTAAAAATAGAGAAAATATGATGCATTTTGAGCCCGGTCTCATGAAAATGCGTATAAATAGTACGCCAAATAAAAACAAAAACTCGTGGTATTGATACGCAAAAATGGACTTTGGCGTGCATATGATACGCATGTGTTTGGCGTGCATATGATACGAAGTTTGTTGGCGTGCATATGATACACAGTTTTCGCGTAGGCTACATATGATACGCATCTACCCCACAACCCTAAACCTACCCATCGCGTAGCATATACACGCCAAAGTCCATTTTTGCGTATCAATACCACGAGTTTTCGTTTTTATTTGGCGTACTATTTATACGCACGTTCATGAGTTCGGTTTGGCATTTTTGGAGTCGCGCGCCAAGTGAGATTAGCTCGTGTCCGTCAGTGAAAAGTACACGCGCATCCTGCTTTATGGTGAAAAGGGGGGTGTGAAGAGTTGTGATGCCCAGGCTTTTAGAGCAAATCTGTTAAGTGTGCTGTAAGGTAGTGTTTTGATAGAAGTGTGAGCGATTAGGCCAACCATTATTGTCCCACGCTTACACTTGTAAAATGTTGGAATGATCAAGTGGATCCTCAGGAATTAAGCAAAGCAAAACTTTTCGGGTGAGATTTGAAACTTTTTGAATCTGAATATTGGAAGAGAGTACAATGTTTGTTTGTTTGTTTTTAATAAGTTTTGTAAGTTTTTTTTTTAAGCTTCCACGTCTGTTTTCTTTGATGAAAAGCCGTTTCCAAATGAAATTAGCTGTAGGCTGTAGCCCTCACCCGTTAGGCAGGAAAATTATTTGCGAACACACGAGAAGACCCCACACACATCAAAAGACCACTTTCAATTGAAGCCAGTGACTCAACCAAGTCAAACACGTCCTGACGCTTCAGTGTGTAGGGGGAAGACTGTGATCCGACCTGATAGCCCACACTAATGAAAAAGCAGTGATAGTAAACCAGTTGAAAGAAGTAAAATACCTTAGGCTACTTCATTTTTATTGTGAGATTGAATTTACAAGATGGATGGACTGTGCAAGTCAATATTTAGCCTATGAAAGCACCTCATCCTGGATTAAATATTCTCACATAGCATTGTTAAATAGCCTACTGTGCAGTGTTATAACTGTCCAAATGGCTAAGTGCACTTTATTGTCTATCGATAATCATAACGATTTGAATTCACAGCAGGTAATATGCCTAATCGCCTTTCAGTGGTTCTTTTAAATAGGCCTTATAACGCATGTGAATGGTTTAAACCTTCTTTGATAATCTTTGGCAATACCTTAACTGAATAGCGATTTAAACATCCCAGTGGGGGGCTAAATGGGTCATTATTGGCTCTTACTTCACAAGTGACATTATTTACAGGCATTGTCTCTTTCGTCCAGCTTGTTTGTTAATATTAATGAGGGGCTAGCTCACGGACGCCTGTGATTGGTTCGTCTACTTTTATTATTCATAATGAGAAGATTGGGCGTGTACTGACCGTACCATAAATGACCTGAACTCCAAAACGATGCTTATAATCTCACTTCAGAGGGATTTCGTTAATCGCCAAAATGAGTAAACAAGCTGCTGACATACCAGAACAAAAAGACTCGAGACGGGTAAAAACCAAACTTTATTTGTTTCACAATGTATTTTCAGACATCTGAAATATAATTATAATTCACATAGCCTATAAGCCTTACATATTGGGCTATTCTGTGTTATTTTGTGGCAATGTGACAAAATGTGATATGAATATTTGTTACTTATCATGTTAATAAGGCTTTTAAGAATGATATTTTACCATAATATTTCAACTACACTATTTTTAATGTTACAGGTCTCAAAACCTCTCGTGGAGAAAAGAAGGAGAGATCGCATTAATCAAAGCCTAGAAACTCTGAGGATGCTATTACTTGAGAATACACACGATGAGGTAAGTTAAGTTTCTAAATAAAGACTCTAACTTAATGTAGCCCGTAAAAGATGTCTTTATCTGTCCACATTTTTTTCTTCTTTTTAATAGAAACTCAAGAACCCTAAAGTCGAAAAGGCTGAAATCCTGGAAAGTGTTGTGCACTTCTTAAGAGCTGAACAAGGACTGGGGACTGACCCTTTTAAAATCACCAGAGGAAAAAGAGCACGCACAGAGGAGTCTGATGAGGACCTGAGTTCACCTAGCAAATGTCAGAGCTACCGTGATGGAATGAGGACATGTCTGATACGACTCAGCAATTTTATTGCTAGCAAGAGCCATGAGTTTGGACAGGGAGTGGACAAAGCATTTGGAAACCTTTACAAATCACACTCAATGCAAGCCCAGCTACTGTCCACACCATCCCGCAGAGAAACTCGGGTGCATCTCAATGAGGACTCATCACTGCCAGCACAGCAGCATCTCACTCGTGTCCAACTGAGCAATTCCTGCACACCATCTGGCTGTGCGAAGCTTGCACAAAGAACTGTTCTGTCTGCTACCACCATGACTTCAAGTCCTAAGCAACCTGTAATGCTCTGTGACGCTGTCTGGAGGCCTTGGTAGAAGATCACGTCCAAAGTCCCTGCAAAGCTCTCTAAAGACTGAAAAGGCCAGGTCTACAGTGATTAATGATTCAGCAGTGTTGGAGCAGCACTGGGTCAATAGACTGTGAATTGTGTAAATATGTGGATTTTGTACAGTAGATGCCAAAGATTTATTTTGTTATAAAAAGGCATTGAGAAATCTGTGCCTGTATAGTGTGTTTGGTGATCTTACAGCCGAACAAACAAGATACACATTTGTGTTGAGATGACTATATTTCTTAGTTAGAACTTTGATGCTTTTATAGCAACAGAATTTTCTTAAATTCTCAATTTTTAATGGAGAATCATTTACTTAACAGGGTGAACATTTCAATGGTTTTGTTCTTATTTTTTTCAGAGCACAAGTTCATGTCATTTTTTATTTTTCTCTTTGCGGTAATTGCCAGATATTTGTGTTCTTCTAAAACATTGAAAAATGTTCATTTCATTCAAGAGATTCTGTTTTTGTCGAAACAAAATAACAAGGCTTTTTATTTGCTTTATTTTTCATGTCAGCAAAACGTGAAATGTTACTTTGAACAAATAATTAAACCTCTCTAAGGATATATTCTTTTATCTTTGGCCTACTCCTGTTTCTAATATTTGCATGTCCATTAATTCATTTCCTGAGAGATATTCAGCATTGAACGGCATTGTTCTTCAGACACGGTGTGAATGTTCAGCGTTCCAACGTGATAACGGTAGATAACTCGATAACAGGCCTGGCATTTGCAGATTTTCATTGGGCAATTATTTGGTCATCTCAGTAATGTTGCACTTAATCTATGGAAGATATAATGCATTGAGGTGCAGATTGCTTAGGTGTGGTCTAAACGGGCCTTTGTCAGAGCAAATGTTGTTTGATTTATCAGAACATGATGTTGGAATTTGATAGTAGGGCCTACTTTGCCTATTATAGGCCTCAATATTATGTAGGCCTATGAAGATACCGGATCCAATATGGTAGCCTATATGATGACAAAAAGTTCAAGTCACAGACCGATAATATAACCAGGGCCGGATTTACGCATAGGCATTCTAGGCAGGTGCCTATTCTTGCTCGTCCAGGGGGGGCCCAAACACAATGAAGAGATATATAATATTTTTGTTATACTATGGGATATCTACAACAGTAAAAGAACCAAAACCCCAGAAAACATTGAGCAAATAAATATAACAAATAATAGGGTAAAAATTACAAACTATGGCCTATTATATTAATAGGGAAGGGGGGCCCAAAAATTTGTTTCGCCTATGTCACGAAAAAAGGTAAATCCGGCCCTGGATATAACGGACAGTTTTAGCAACAATAAAACTGTCGCAGATATTTAAGTAAATTAAGTAAATAAAGAAAAGTTATTTCAAGTACTTTTTTACTTGCAACAGATCAAATGAAATATTTTATTTCATTTTAAACAGCTATCCCACCCCTCTCCTGCATCTGATTTTATAGCTTGATTTGGTTACAAAAAGTTGTGTTCTTGTCTGTATGGATGTAACAGCTATCTCAAGCCCAACATAAGTGAGAGTTCAGCATGAAATACAATTAAAACATTTTTTTTAAACTCTGGATAAATGAATAAAACCAGAAGTTTGATCTCAATTATCCTATCAATATATCATCTGTGTGCCCAAATGTTTTGGAGAATTCGACTGAACGCGACAAACGATTTGTGATTTAATCATGAGGTCGTTTTTCAATAGCCTATAATTTATTTTATATTAGGCTTTAACATAGTAAAAGTTAGGCCAAGTCTACTACTTTAACGACTTCGCTATCTACATGACAAACCCTACAATCTAAAGTATTTAAAGACTAAAAGTTGTCATAAAACCATGACTGGAAAGAAGATTTAGGCTACCACTAGATATAATGGCTTAGTTGTACTTAATGCTCATACTCTCCCCTAAATCAACCTTCATGCGCAGCTTTGTTTCGCTTTGTCGCTTTGGATAAGCTCTTAGATAAACGAGTTTGAGCTGAAATGAGATTAGACCTTTGAATGATGCCATGCACCGGCTGATGCCTGAACCCGTTATTACAGACAGATAAATCTCCCAAATGCCATTCAACACAAAGAGTGTAAATAGATTATCCAGACCGGATGTGTGCTTTTGTCTGTTCTGATCAACAAAGACCAATGCACGCAGCCAAGTATAGCAAACGTTTAAGCTATTAAGTGCCTAAATAATATAAAATACATTATAGGCCTATATATATACTTTTATATATATTTATATATATATACTTTACTAGTACAACATGTGTTCCTTCTGGCCATTTGACAAAGAACTGTAAAATTAAACCGACGCGTGTCCTGACCTGGTTATGAAAACAAACGCACAGTGCAGAAGACGCGTGTTTAGGTGATGATCGAGACGCGCACGCGTTTTGCGGGAATAAACGTGAAATCACGGTCACTCTACTTCAAACAACAGTTCAAGTGAAAAGCAGTGTCTATTTGTTTTCAACAATCATTACATTTAATATTGCCATTATATGTAGCCTACATGTCGGCGGCTTGTGGCATCTCAAAGCCTGGAATGATAAAGCTTCATTCCCACTTTACCGTGCATAATTCACCCTACTCAGTCCATAAGGTCTACCTACTTCAAAAAGGCGAATAATACCTCAAAGTCTGTCTGTTTAATTAGCTTTGCATATTATTGTTTCGATAAATAGCTAATCCCTTTAGGAGCTTTACGCCACAGTTTACGATTTGGACTTAACGCGGGTGTGTTGGCAACCTGCTTTTAAAGCATATACAGCTCCCTTACATGTAGCGCCGTTCTTCTAATGCCTTTTATTCATGTGCGTTAATCCCCGGCGGGTGGGAAATGAAGGGGGACAGGTCCCCCTCCGCGGGATATTAATTGGAGGTAAGCATCCACAATGCGGACGTCTGTGCTTCAGCGCTTCTCCATTGCGCGTCTGATGGCCTGTTGCGCAGGGGCGGATACACACCCTGTTGACCGAACGCTTCAATGACATTACCCTGAGCAACATCTGGTTCGCATGCACCACTCGCCTGCCCCTTTAATTCGAAAAACGAGTCGCCTCACTGGGCAACTCTCAAGGCTTTGGTACATAGTGATGCACAGCAGTGTGAGGTATTACCTGACCAAGGTCTTGTGCTTTTGGGAATGTGTAAGTTTTTGTGTATATGTTTCACTTTTATTATTATTTAAAAAAATAAATAGTTGTACTTTTACTATGACCTAAGATACTCATCATCATTTATTTTCGAAAACGAAAACTCACGCGCTATTTATGAAACCAATGAAATTAACTAATGAGAAACTTCAGTGTCCTGTTTTTTCAGTGACTCTTTCCCTTATTGAGCAGTTGATAAAGCCCATACATTTCTACACATTGTCCAGGCATTCCCAGAATAAAATAGGAAAGGAGAATAATTGTAATTTTACTTTTTTGTAGCTGTTTTCTCCTCTATTTTAGTTAACACATGGGAACTTTTCAACTGATTTTTATTTGTTGTTAAATTTTTACTCAATTTAGTTTACTGTCCAAGAAACTTGGATTTCTTACATCCAAGAAACGTTTTGTTTATTTACGTCTAACCTACCACTTTTCCTAAAAGCATCAATATATTTAATGACACTTCTTGAAAACTGCAACAAATCATCATAAACAAACCAAAAATGTATACAGTGAATGCTTGAAAATGTACCTTTATGAGTTATTTTACTTGCAGTTCTTGTAATTGATCTATATTTTAAAACAGTATATATAATTGTAATTTATATTCAATGTTTCTGTTTTTTATTTATTCTGTGCCATACACAGATTATACAATAAACAAAAATATACAAAACTAAAATGATATAGAAGACAATGTATTGAACTGTGTTTAATTTGATAATATAAGTTTGTTGTATGAATAACCAAGCTTACAATTCTTTTTAGTCTATGTACTTGTTTCATGGTAATAATTCACATTTGGAATTCTGCATTAATGTTTTTGAATTTAGTGTAAATTAACCAAAAGTTAAGCAAATGATTTCTTGTATTCAGCTCAGCCCTGTATAACCTTCCAAAATGTCCCACATTAAAAACTTGAGTGTACTGCATAGCCTACTTGTGGCAGACACTCATACAGACACAGCAGTGTTGTTCACAATTTGTAACAGAAACACGGACACTTTTCACAGAATGTCATGAGGCATTTTCAGTTATTATCATCGTAAAAATGGCATTTAAAAAAAAAAAATCTTATATTTAAATATTTGAATTAAAAATTAAATAGTTAATGCTGTTTGGTGAGTGTTACAACACAGTGGGTAATACAACCACTGAGAGTGTTGAAAACTTGACATCAATCACTTTTTTTTCTTAAAGGTGCAGTAGGAGATCTTGGAAAATGCTAACTTTAGCCCGATAGCACTGAACGCGAATGTCCCACCCTCCCTGCAATTGCCGTCCAAAGCCACGGCCCCTGAACGCATTTACGCTCACAGACCAGAGACAACATTACTACAATAGGCTACATCATGTTCCCAATTCCAGCCCATGTTCCGAAGTGAAGTAAACTTCAACGGATTTCCCCCGCTCAGGGAGTAGGGAGCAATGAACACTGTGAAGGGATCATATCGATCGGAACACAGTTCATGCACATAGCTCACTTCTAACGAGCTGGCGCAAGGACTAGATTAACCGCTGGGCTACATCATGTGTCAGTCACCGGTGATAAATCTTTAAAAGTACTACAATACCAGGAAGGAAGATCGGGTTGTTGATGTTTGCCTGCCATCCTCGCTCTGTCAGCACAGCGTGTGTGAACGCGCTGATGACGTATCCTGTCTGCGCAAACCGGGTGCGGAAAGGTATGCTAATACATACGTTGACAGGCAGGTAGGAAAGCCAATTAAAATGCTCGGACTGAGCATTTTGATTGGACGAACATTTCCTGATCCTACGCCTTCCACATAATATATATATACAGACAAATACATTTAGACCAC